TTTCTCCCTTTCCTTTTCCTCAGAAAGGTAAACTTTGCCCAAAATGTCTTTTTCACCTTTTTCTCCTGTTTTGTTGATGCTTCCCCCACCTCCTCTGCCACCACTGGGGGCCTAAAGCAGTTTAAGAAGGACAGCTTCATATTTAGTTGCGTCTCGTTCGATGACCGATTTGTTCTGAAGCGGAACTGTGCTTACATCACATTCGGAATGTTGGCGTCATGGTTACCACGGTAACCTTCAATTTCAAAAAATCGCTTCTCTCACTACTTCTCTTGTGTTACTTATAGTTTAATAGCATTTGTTTGCATAGTAAAAGCACACGCTGTTGCATAGCAAACGGTGGGCCTGCTGAAAACTACGATTGTGGTGGACAAAAAATTTTACCTGGTACAATGGGACTAGCTTAATGGTCCCCCCTTCTATTATGTCACAAACGTGAGGGGGCGTATCCCTTATTCTGATTGGTCGAGGGGTTATGTCCATATATGGTATCATACATGCTTATACCACGGTTGTGGATATGGGGATTGTGTCCATATATGGTATCATACATGCTTATACCACGGTTGTGGATATGGGGATTGTGTCCATATATGGTATCATACATGATTTTACCACGGTTGTGGATATGGGGATTGTGTCCATATATGGTATCATACATGATTTTGCCACGTGATTAAGGGGCACATGGTTTGGGTTGCCGTTCAACTTTAATAGAATTAAAACACATTACATGTTATTTTTAATTATGTTTTAAGGAATAATAAAACATATAGCAGGATGAATGTAAGCTAGCGCGTACACGGCCAACATGCATCCTCCCAGTTCAAAAGTTGCGCGTTAAATGATTATCCGTGTGGGGGGGGGAGGGGGACACTTGCCGCAGGCGCACTCACGCAGACATCCCATTTCAAAATTGCGACGCCAGCGGCGCTTTCAAATAAACCCCTTTAACCTTAACGTTTATAAGTAATGAAGCACTTTTCTGCCAATGTGAATAATAAAATAAAACATCCTAAGCATTTCGACAAGAAGAATCAAGGAATAACGTGGCCAATCCTTGTTAAAATGACACTCGCTCTCTCTGTATCCATGCCGCACTTGTGCGTAGATCGACAATCCCTACACACCACTATCATTTATTGAAAACAGCTGAGGCAACTAGTTTTCTGAATTTTAAAGTGTGTATAAAATAAGTAAATGTGTGTAAAATAAGTATAAGATGTGTTGTAAAGCATATAGCTAATGATAATTAATAAAGAATGTAAGCATAATATCCCACACACACCCCGGCCTATAGCTGGTAGAAATGGCGCTATCCTGCGGCCTACAAGATAAAAGCATATGGCACCAAAGTGGGTTCAAAAGTATTTAAAAGTATAAAATACATTACATAAATTTAGTAATGTACTGGTTTAAATGCGTTTTGAGGATAATAAAACTTTTAACAGTGTAATTTTAACGGGGTTACCGGACGCGTCCAGCTTTTCTAGCTGGAGAGGAATGAGGGTCTGGCAGTTTTAAATGGTAAAAGCAGTAGCTGTGTATTGTTAATGGGGTATTTTTAAACAAAATACACTATTTCACATCAGTAAAAACACAGCCATCCTGTTTTTAGGGGGGATTTATGTATATTGCATGTCTAGACATGTCGGTCAGCTAATGGTCACAGTGGGGGGAACAGGGCGTCCGCGCTTTTGGAGTCGTGAGCGATAAGCCCATGAGAAGGAAGCATCAATGAAACAAAATGGCCGCCATTTTTCTGCTGGTCTTGGGTGTGAGAAGCACAAAGCCAGCAGCCCCATCCTGGCAGAAAGCACATTACCCCTATTTATTAATCTGTCTTATTTGTAAATAGTATAAAATAATATATTTGTAATTTAAATAAAAGTCGATCTCTGACACCACAGCTCTAGGACTGTGGCATAGGCCCGGACCCCCGCTGTGCTTTCTGCCAGGATGGGGCTGCTGGCTTTGTGCTTCTCACACCCAGGACCAGCAGTTAAATGGCGTCCATTTTGTTTCATTGATGCTTCCTTCTCATGGGCTTATCGCGCTAGCTTACATTCATCCTGCTATATGTTTCATTATTCTTTAAAACGTAAATAAAAATAATATGTAATGTGTTTTTATTCTATTAAAGTGTAACGGCAACCCAAACCATGTGGCCCCTTAATCACGTGGCATAAGCATGTATGATACCATATATGGACATAACCCCTCGAACCAATCAGAATATGGGATACGCTCCATCCCGCTTATGACATCACAGAAGGGGGGGCATTAAGCTCCTCCCATTGTACCAGGTAATATTTTTTTTGTGGCCTTCATGAGCCAGTTATATTTAAGGGCGTAGCCATGACACACCACATCTCTTCTTTGGTGCCACTTAGAAAATGAAATAATCCACATTTTGTTTCTATTGTTTTGATATAAGGTGTCAACAGGGGTGGACACGTATTTATTAGGCCTGGCCATGGCCACCTCTGGCCATCCCGTGGAACAGTTTAGTTTATTTTCAGTTTAGTTTATTTGTCATATGCAAGTTAGCACAGGGTCAACATTACAATGAAATGTGACTGATGGGAATAAATAAGTCTCTCAGCAATATATTAGAGAAGTAAGACAACGTTCTTACACATGAAATAAAGTGACAAGAGTGGGCAGCAGTGCAATTGTCGATGATTTAAGGTGCAGCCATTGTATTGGTTTTCAGTGGGACCTAAACTGCTTATGTTGATAAAAGGGTGAGCAAATTTTAATGAGCAAGTTGCTTCTCATGGAAATAGAAAACTCTTTTTTCTTTTTCAGATTTAATCTTTTTTGGAATTTAAGAAATTAGGACATGAAAGAAATCCTCCACTCAGAGTGCAAATATCAAAGGGAATAATAAATATCAGTCTGATTAATCTCTTTAAGTCGGTACGATGGCACCAATTAATGTGACCTAATTCCCATCCAACCCTTCTTTTGGCGTTTAAGATCACAGTTGATCAGAAGTGCACCTTGGAGCGCACTACAACCTGGCTGTCCTTGCTGCATGCAGATGGAGTTTCCGTCAGTCAGAAGTTATGGGGAAGGAAGTCGATGAATTGGAGCTGACGGAGTTACGCCTATGCTGCTGAACTCTTAGGTGAAGTTTAGCAAGTTTCACATTTAGTTTTACACTTTTGTTTAGAGGACCTCAGATCAGGTGCATCTTGCATTTCAGGATGCACCATCCGGCATTGAGGTATAATCTTAAACCAGGGTAGGTCAGATTATGGCTCCGGAAGAGTTTCCAGACGTGGGAAGTGAAATGGGCCAGGATTCAACAAAGCAAATGAAAGAAAGTACAGCCTGAATTCTTTGTGGTGCTGGAAACATTCTTTAGATTCTGGTGCCACTGTCACATTTACTTAGACCACATAATATCCCCACTCTGATCTTAACAATACCTGGAGCTCCTGTCTGCATGATATTAAGTATGGAGCTGCTGCCACATGATTGGCCGGTTAGATATTTGCAGGTTTTCCTAACAAGGTAACAAGTGAAAAACTCGTATACTTATCGTCTCCATGAAAACTCAAGAAATTGCAACATCTTTGCTGTATGTTATTACATAAATTACATGAGATAAAGTATCACACTTTCTGTGAAACTAAACATACTGAAAGTAATTTGCACTGCGGTACTTGAGCTTGTTGAGTGCGGCTCCTGTAACTTCACCCACCAATACTTTGGAAGAGTGCTTTCAGGGAGACCCTGTGGAGGGTGAGTTAAGAGGTTGAAAAATCACAAAGATGTGACTGGAGACTCGTACACTGTATACACTGTTTGGATTTTCAGAACATGCCCAAAGGCCTCCACAGTCTGATGGCTAAGAGAGGCTCAAGAGGAGCTTCTGTCCTCAGACCATTAGGCTTTTTAACACAGACATGCCCAATTATTTTTTTTTACAGTTGTTTATTTATTTATTACTCTCACTGCACCATTTGCATGTATGCCGTATATAACGCTATTCTGTGCAATAGCCTTTTGTTTATCTTCTACTGTATGTATCCTTTGTTTTTATCCTACCCCACACTGTTTTTCAGTCAGAGGAGCGAGCCAGATTTTTCTTTCACTGCAAATTGTACCAGTGCAACTGTGCAAGTAATACATAAAATCTTGAACTGAATCATACCACAACCTCGTTCTGTCAAACCTCTGACCTCAAGTCCCAGAAGATGGGTGAATGTTGAGAAATGGGGGGAGGGGGAACTGTAAACATTTTTCCAGACACAGAATGACAGGGTCATCTTGTAAGATATGAGAATGAATGCAGGGAACTAAAATAGGCATTAGCTATTTTAATAACTCCAGGAAGTGATTAGAATTTCAAAAAAAACAACAACAAAGAATAAAGAGTAATAAGATGCAACAGAATCTGAAATAAAAATGACACATTTAGAGCAAAATTCCAAGATGTAGTTCCATTAATCTTTATTATAATGGACGAGATGTAGCTAGTGCAGCTTCCTGGAGAACTGAAGTAACATGGTAGGAGGAGAAGGATGAGGAGTGACAGTGAAGAACTGAAACCCAAACACTTAGGAACATAGACCAATCTAAAGACAGTGGCGTACCATCCAGAGTAAATTTATTAGCGTGCCAAACTAAGTCAACATGACCATATACTTCAGTAATTCATGTAGGTTATTAAAGAAGACCAGTCTCTGTTATTCATTACTACACAGGGCATGTTTTATGTGGGTCAGTGGAGAGAAAAAAAAAAACGATTTACCACAGTAAATATTTGGCTAATTGAAGCAAGCATGAATAAGCAGATCATAACATGAGTAATTAGCATTTTCACTGTCCATACAGCTAACAGACAAGCCCTCAACTGCTACCAGTTTGATTTGACCAGTTTTTTGTGTGATGGCTACAGCATGGATCCCCTGAATTGCATCTGTGTAATAAAATGGTCAAATGTAACCTAATTAATTCCATAAATGCACCAGGGCAGCCTAGAAACCCATTTTGGGGGCTCTAAGCTTCTGGAAAAAACAGGGCCTGTTTCAGAGATGATGTGTACTGCCCCTGTCAGAAAGCCAGTGCAGTTCATCCCCCCCCCTCAGTGCAGGAAATCATGAACCCCCCCACCTCAAGGCCCCACTGCTGGGCATCACACTCAGATGGATGAGGATCCTCTACAAAAGAAGAGCAGCATTTAACAAATACATTTAAAAATTAGCCTGTGGCACTGCTTACCAAAGTTATGAATATATACAATCTATAAACATGACAATATAGTTCAAGAATGATATTAAATTTGTGATTCTTGAAGTAGCAAAAGTATTGGCAAGCACTACCAGACATAAAAGGTTTATGAACGTATGAATCTAGGCTTCAAACTGGTAACCATTGTGATCAATTGATCAAACAATGCAAATTCTACTTCCTGTATATAATCAGGCCTTCTTGTCCAAGGTGACATGTATCTGTTTGATAGTAGGAAGTTGGACGGGGAACGGAGTGTGTGTGTATTTGATATTTATGCATTGTATACACACATGTATCATTTGCAAGGTTGTACTAGTAGTTGAATACTGCTGGGTTTGATTTATTGATTGTGGTTATTTAAAACTACTATTTAAAACTACTACTCACGTTGCTTCATCATTCAGCTATGAGATATTTTTTTCAGGACTTGAAAAGCAAGCCGATTAGAGGGAAAAAAAATCTTAAAAAATGAATAAGGGAATCAGGTTTGTCAATCTAACAATTCATGTAATTACAGAAACACGTTTGAATTGAACTGGGCAGCAGAAAGCAGTGAAATTTTTGGCCTCTATATTACACAATGTAACCAGCAGTATGACTCTGCAACATAGCATTTCAAGTGCTTCCTGGATTTGCAGCGTTACAGTTTTCGCAGTGTATCCCCAGCTTAAGGATTTCAGTTAAAAATAACAATCGCTTTTTAAATGTGCAATCATCTTAAATATATTAAAAAGCTACGTACAAAAAAAATGCCCTGCGGACCACTCAAAATGTGTCACTCATGCCTCAGGTCAAGTCTAAACAATATCATGAGAAAGGTTAGAAAAGCTGGACACCACACTGCCCATATCTACATATGTGACACCCAAGAGGAGTCTTTCAGAAATGATGTCTCCTCCAGTTGAGGGAGTGACTCCTCTTCCTCTTCCTGTGGCAATGCTCCTTCCCATTCGGCCAAGGGAAGCCAGCCACTCCCACGCTGTGGACCTCCTCGTAGCTGTCACTGTCGGAGTCATCCTCCAGGGCTGGGAAGGTTCTGTCGGGGTAGATCTCATTCAGCTTGGAGCTGAAGAACTCTTCGAGGTTCCGGCCCGCCTGGGCCACCTCTGAATCCGGCTGAGAAGATCAGACAGACAGGATGCCTTGGTCAGAACCCCCAGGTCTGAGATCAGGGCGCACCTGACCAGCTTCAGACACGGGGCACTTCTACTCACGTAGTTGAATTTTGCGCAGTTCCTGAACATAAGAAGGACATCAGCCACAAATTCCTCAGGAGTGTGGTAATGCTGACGGCTCTTTCTGGTCAGCTTGGCCCTGATGACGGATAAGTCCATCGGCTTCTTGATGATCTGGTAATAATGCCGAGCCTGGGGTAGAGAAATAAACATGTCAAAGTTAAATTAGACCTCTAAAATCTCAAATTTCTTATCTTGAGGTTCCATGAACTACAAAAGCTCCTCGGGTTACAATGGGGTTATGTTCTGATAAAACTACCCCAAGGCAAAAATATCATAAGGTCAAAATGCATTTTAATATAGAACACCTAACCTAACACACATCTCAGCCTAGCCTACCTTAAACATGCTTAGAATACTTACATTACCCTACAGCTGGGCAAAATCATTGACACAAAGCCTATTTTATAATAAAGTGTTGAATATCTCATGTAATTTATTGAATAATGTACGGAAAGTGAAAAACATTTACCAATGTCAAAAGATCCTAACATTGACCATCGTAACCCAGGGAGCATCAGTAAACAAACCACTACTATCAAGTCAGCTTTCAGTTCCCTGCAAACATACATAATGGTCTGCAAATATTTTGGGTGGTGCAAACATTGGCTGGATGTGATTAGATACTGGTTAGTGCACTAGATACTAGTTAGTCCCATTCGTGGCTGAGGTCATGCGCCAGGGAGTCACGTACCAGTGGGCTGACTGGTTCTTGGAAAGGTGCACTCAGGATGTTGCAGGAGATGGACAGTGTCAGCTTCTCACACTTCTGCAGAATGTGATCACAATGGGAGATGTGAGCCACAAAGTAAGGTGTCCTTATTCCGCCTGTGGTCGACGAAAGCAGAGGCTATCTGAGCAAGCTAATGGTCTGTATACTCACCCTCAAGTCACATTCGGACAGCCCACGCTGAAGAGCCTTGCCCTCATTTCTGGTACAGAAGCGCACATTCTCACAGTCATATTCTACTTCTGGCTGCTCAAGATCCCGGCACAGCGTACACACCCAGTCACCACTAGGGGGCAGCAGAGAAAGATTTGCCATAAAATGCCAGGAATGTCTTTTAAGCACCAGTAGGGAGAAGAATGTGTGTTAGACATAGCTGGGAGAGGAAGAAAAAGCGAGACAAGGAACAAGGACTGAGGTCTTACGTGGGGAAGCTGAGGAGAGGTGGGACATGGCACAGCAGATGAAAGACCTTGGGGCAACGGTCACAGCATAGCAGGTCTCCCCCATTCAGGCAGACCCCACAGAAGTCCTCATTCTCCATCTCTACATGCCCCTGAGTGGGGCTGTTTTCTGCCATTGCGTGGTCACCAAACTCTCTGGTTGGTGGGCGCTCTGGTTCAACCGCCATACCCGAGTCTGACTCTAGGCAGGACTGTGATTCTGTCTGTAGCCCTGCCTCGAGTCCAGGCTCCGACTCTGGGCAAGACTGTGATTCTGCTTGCAACCCTGACTCCAGAAAAGGTTCTGATGCTAAGCAGGATTGTGACTCTGCCTGTAGCCCTGATATCACTGACTCCAGAGGAGGCTCTGACTCAACACTGGACTGTGAACCTGGCAGTAGCTCTGACACCAGATCAGTCTCTGACTCGAGACTGGACTGTGACCCTGCCTGTACCCCTGACTCCAGATCAGCCTCTGTCTCCAGCTGCTGAGCAGACACCAGGTCCGGCTCTGTGTCCATATTTGCTTCTGAGTCTGGCTGTGTCTCAGACTCTAGACTCTGGTCTGACTCTGGATTTTGCAGAGCTCCCAGATCCGTCTCTATTTCTAAATCTGGCTCAGATTCCAGTTCTGGTTCCGATTCTATCTCTAGCTCTGTTTCAGAGCATGCCTCTGTCTCAGACTCTGGTCTTGGGTTGGATTCTGGGTCAGTCTGTGTTTCAGGTAGGGTTGGTGAGGGCTCCTCTTCTGGTCCCCTTTTCTCACACTGCATGAGTAGCGGTGTGTTGTTGGCTGTGAGCTCAGTGCTAGTTGTGCTCATCATTCCTTCTCTGCGTCCTCCCTGCAGCAAAAGCATGTGTGAAAGAGGAAATGAGAACCGTACAGATCACAAGTATAAAGCAAATATAGTGTTTTGATACCTGTGGCAGCACAGTCATGACAAAACGGGAAACATATTTATAGATCCATAAATATTACTCTTCGGAGTCTTGAACATATAGTAAAAATGTTTCTCTCTAAAGGTTAATGCAGAATGTGTTAATCATTGCAGCATGCAACCTGCCTCATTGCACGCACAAGCCCTGCATGTCTCGTGCATAATTTACCATAACAGACAAAATTTTTTCATCATTATCTACTTACTGTATGAGGAAAGTATATTACTTGTATATTTGAAATGCATGAGGGAAATATATATTACTTATTGAAATGGTGATAAAAGAGTTATAGAGTCACAAAAATTAGGAAGATGGACAGCTGTAAAGAAAAGACTTAATTTCCAGTTCTTCAAGCTGATTTATATAAAGAATAACAACAATTTAACTGAAATTAACTAAAACCTAAATCGCACCACAAACTCCTTAGCAGCTGAACACTCTAGTAGCTCTGGAGAAACAGCGCCCCCTGCAGGCCTGGGATCTGGATGAGGGCCACGTCGCCTCTTCACTGCTGGTGTAGCTCGGGCCTTCGAGCGCTCCGACCGTATGCGCGTGGCTCGGGGACGTTTGAGTGACGATGCTTCCCTAGAGTGTTTGGAGAGACGGTAGAAGTGGAGATGAATGTTCTATTTTAGCCTCTTCCTGGCTCTTGAATGCACAGAAAATAATATCCAGTTATACCTGCTACTGTCCTGGGATCTTGGTCCAGGTCTACTTTCAGTTCCTGTCTCTTTGTATGCATAAATATTACCTAGTGAAAAATACAAGCATTCAATACAACATAAATATATTTTTGCAAAACAGGGTGATGTTTTATACAACTTTAAAAACTATTTTTAATTTCCCTAACATTTTATATGACATAATATGACCAGAATAATATGACCCGCAAAGAAATCTTCAGATAAATATATAGTGCCTTGTAAAAGTTGTCTTTTGCCCTTAAAAATTAAGAGCAACAAAACATGTAACTCATTACGTTTTCAATTAAAAATAAATATCTGTTATAAACTTCAAACATTCAAACAAGAGATAAAAGAACAACATATTAAAATGCATAAATATTTAATGTTGCTTTTCTACTTGTGCCCCAGCAAAGAGATTTTTCAAACAAAAAAACAGATTTAGAGATGAACTGTTAGATGTTAAATGAGAAAAATAAACTGAAAATAAGAAATGAGAGATAAAATGATTCAAATGCGAAGATTAGGAAAAGGTTCAGCACTATTTGGACAGACTCCAGAAAGCATTTTTGGATCAATAAGCAGAGGGTGGATGATTCACAGCACCCTGAAAAAGCTATCCCTCCACACCATGTCCAAGCAAGAAAGAAATATGTGAGGGATAACATGGAGAGGCCATGGGGAGGTCAGGACAAGCCAAGGAGAGGCCATGAATATGCAAGAAAGGCCAAAGGGAAGCTATGAACAATCCAGGGAGAAGCCAGGTGAGGATAAAGAGAGACTATGAATAATC